GGTGTTTGGCAAAGACAATAAGAAGAAAGAACTCGTGAACAATTTGAGGGAGATCTATGGACGGATCGTACAGGAGCATCAGATTTCACCAGGAGATTTTCCTAATCTGAAGAAGATGCAGGTAAGGGCCAGAAACAATAGAATCCAAGAACCATGGCAGAATCTGCTCCATTTCAATTGCGCAGAATAGGTTTGGAGCAGAGATGAACACTGCTGCTGCATCTGTTACAGAGGCATACCTACGGTCCCTTGCACCCTTGGAAAGGAGCTGTATTGGCACATGTACACACATACACAACCCCCCCCCCAAAAAAAATCACCTTTGAGCCACAGTGCAAGAAGGGCTGGAAGCTACTTTCATGTTTGATCTTGCAACGATTGCAGTGGCACATCACCACGCAGAGATATGTCATACACTCCGTAGTTTGATAGGTAACTACGTAGTTTGGTGTGCCCCCAAACTACCAACCTCTACTCTGTTGGGACATTTTGGTTCAAAAGGAATGTTTTAACCTGAAAGACAACCTAGTTTTTCATTTAGAATATTATTGTGAGGGGGAAGAGCCGCTGTGCTTCTAAAATCCAGAATGACAGACATCTTAGTCTGTCGTAGTCAAAACATAAGTGTCCCATGGCACCCAAAAGACAGCACACACAATGCAGGAAAAGCTTTCGCTGGCCAAATCTCACTTTGTCAAAAGCATGAGGTGTCTTCTAAGTAGGCAGCTTTATATAGTGTGAGGCTAACAATAGCAATAGGCTTGGTTTCGTTTATTACTTTTCCTCCACTTTCCCACAAAGTTATTCACAGTGGCTTACAGAATAGACGATTGCAAACATTGAAGCAATATAAAAATAGAAATGAGCAGAGATCTATAAATAGCGATCGGCAAACAAAATTGAAAGGATCACGACGTTAGAATCAAAAGCGGTAAAAAGCCAAGGTCAGTAGCATTTTAAAACACATACCATACGGCTGACTGAAATATAAAAGTATTCAATAAGCAGCTGATAGCAAATGAAGAAGGGATCTGCCTGGATTGTTGTAGCCACGCCTCTTATGTTGAATGGTACACTGAACAATAAAACAGTCCTCACCACCCCTCTTTTCTGTTTGTGACGTTCTTTTCAGGAACAGCTTCAAGCTCAGGATTTCAGCAAGTTCCAGCCCCTAAAGACCAAGTTGCTGGATGCAGTAGAGGATATGCTGACCAATGACATCGCTCAGCTCATGGTCCTGGTGCGTCAGGAGGAGTCCCGGAGGCCTGCTCAGATGGTGAAAGGGGGAGCCTTTGAAGGCACCCTCCACGGCCCATTTGGACATGGCTATGGGGAAGGGGCAGCAGAAGGAATTGATGACGCAGATTGGGTGGTGGCCAAAGATAAGCCCCTGTACGACGAGATCTTCTACACGCTGTCGCCCGTTGATGGGAAAATAACGGGGGCCAATGCCAAAAGGGAGATGGTGAAGTCCAAGCTGCCTAACTCAGTGCTGGGCAAGATATGGAAACTCTCTGATATCGATGAGGATGGGATGCTGGACGATGAGGAATTTGCTTTGGCGAATCATCTTATAAAAGTGAAGCTGGAAGGTCATGAGCTTCCTGGGAATCTCCCATCCCATCTCATCCCCCCATCTAAGAGGAAACTAGCTGGGTGAGAAGCCACCAGAAAGAAAATGGGGAACAGGGAAGGGAAGGGAAGGGAATGTACCAAAGTTGTGCCTGCAGTGAGGCTAGGTCACCTTTTGGCTTAGAACTGTTTTCAGATGTGAAGAGGAAACTGATGTGAAGCAAAGCCCCAGTACTTTCTCATGATGAGATGCAACTAGCTCTGTCCTGGTATCTTCCAGGCTTCCATGTATTTGTTGATAAGAACTGATACAGATTGAAGGTGCAAAGTTGGCTGGGATCTTTAGAGCTTTGTGATAGTTTCTGTCACTGTTCAGTCAAGCAGTGTCTGAAATTCCTGTTGCATATATCCCTGATGCTTTAGAAAAGCATTCTAATCCCCGATAGACCCCAAAACTCTGGATGGGAGTTGTGCTTAAAACTTACCTAGATCTTAAGTATTTTTGTGAAATAGTCTTTCCTTTCTGTTCAGTCTTCCTGTCTGTTGTGCCTTTTAAAAAATGTTTATTGAGTACAGGAAGCCTACAATTTACAAGGGGGTTTCTTTCTGGAAAGCCAAAAGCATGTATAGTCAAGACACAGTGGGTTCAATGGCAAGTGGAATTGCCAAAGGCTTCCCCCCCCCCCACAGATACCTGCCTCCTTTCTATGCCCTTTTTAATATATTTTTTTTGTTTTGCCAAACACTTAAAGCTGAATGTGCACAGGTTAAATGCATGTATGTTGCGGGCTTACTGTACACATTTGTCTGCAGAATATCTCTGGAGAACCAGTCCACAGGAAAATCACCCCCCTAGGCACCTGCATTTTCTTCTAGGTTCTTGGTGAGAAACCTGCACTGAAAATGCCACATCTTTCCAATGCTTTGAAAACGTTGGGCTCGAACCAAGAGCCTTAAATCCTTTCCTAGTTAATTGGGTGCCGGTTTGTAAGTCTGTGCCACTATACTTCTGTGACTTTAGTCTGAGAACAGTGGTGCAGCTGGGAGAATGGGATAGAAAGAGTGAGAGCTTTAGGAGTTCAAGAGAGTCCCTTGCAAGGAAATGATGGCAAGATCAGAGGCAGGGGATCAAGGTTTTTGACAAGGGGAGCCACTCTTCCTGGCCTTTCCTATCCCTAAAACGGGACAGTGCATTTCACATCTCTTTGAATTATGCTCAAGCCTGGTTTTGGACTAACATCATTTAGCGTGTTTACATTCCATCACAGATCTTGATGTTACAACAGAAATGGCAAATCTCTACTCTTTCATTGTCTGTTCAGCCCATGTAAGACATCTGTCCCCAGAACACCCATTTGCACATCAGTCAGAGGACAGTGATCTTGCTGTTGCTTGTGGGCTTTCCATAGGTATTTGGTTGGCCACTGTACTGAATGCTGCATTGCATAGAGCTTTCATCTGACCCAGCAGGCCTCTTCTGTTCTGTCCTCTTCCCACGTGCAACCTTCATCTTTGACTTAACCCTAGGATAAGTATTCTGAACCTTGTCCAGACAGAATAGCCAAGGTATTTTCTGCTGCTTTTTCTCAGTCTTATTTCAAATCATTCCTTTTTCTGCACCCCATTATTTAGTTGGTATCTGGGTAGAGGTTCGAGTATGTGGGTTTTGTTGATACTGAGAAGGTGGATGAACACAGAACAAAATAACTTGTTTTAGACCTGCACTAATATTCTATAGACAAACAAGATTCTCTTCAAAGCTCCTGCCTCCCCAACTGAGATGAGGTGGGGGCTACTAAGCAGAGGACCCTCTTCCTGGTGCCTTCTCTGTGGTCTTTCCATTATCAAGTGAAACTTATTCACCCGGGACTTTAAACAACTAGCTTTGTAAAGCAACTAAAACCTGGGCTTTGATTTTGCGGCCTGTGTTTTTATTTTACCCAGCTGTTTGTTGAATGATTGCATTTCTCTCTGACAAAAATGAAAGTTATTTGCTGCATTTTATTGTTTTCATTGATTGCATTGTATGTCAATATTGTATTTTAGGCTTTGTCCTGTAAGCCACCCAGGGGAGATGTGTTGATAGTTGGCTATATAACTGTAATAAAATTAACAATAAATATTCAGTGTGTAAAAACAACCTTATTGCAATGCATTTATCACGACTTACATTTATGCATTCATCCTGATCACATTCTTATTCTCCACTATGGTGAGATGTACTCTGTATTTAAATTGAGAAATAAATTTGTATCTGTGCCCTATAAATTAGCAGTTGCAGTTTTTATATAGATCTGTGTCCTTTTTTTTCAGCAGTGCCTAAGTGGTAGCTCTAAAGTGTGAACTGGATAAATTTGTGGCAATCTTTTATGCCCCATTCCCCACTCTGTGCCATGCTACTAAACTGCAGAAGTCTGCAAGCTAGCCAGAACGCCCCCTGATTTTACCTGTAAAATCAGTGAATTCCACCTTTCCATGTAAGCCTCTTTGGTGGATCTTCCATTTTTAGCCAGAAAGTATGAAGCTCAGTGTGAGGTTCTGAGTCTTCTGGAGGTAATTTCAGGAGGCAAGCCTTGCCTTTCCTTTCCTTTCCTTTCCTTTCCTTTCCTTTCCTTTCCTTGTTCTTGAATGTAAGAATTGTTTCCATCAAAATCTTCACATACTGAAGCTTTGTTTAAAAACGCACATAGACATGTCTGTAGGAGAGGAAATGGGCAATACCTCTTTTAGACAATCCACAATTTTTGATGCTTGGGCATCCACAGCTTTTAAAAGTATCATGGTTTGAGCACCCTTTGATGAAAATATAAGGGTGATATGGGGAAATGAAAGTAACTGAAGTATCTTCCTTTCTCCTTTTTTTCAGCTGGGGTTATCAATCTGTTGCATTTAAGATAGTTTTTATTGCATTGTAAGCCGGCCTTACAAAGGTATTAACCCTGAAGGGTGGCTTAAAATGCTTTATTAGAAACAATAACAAATATTCTGCAGAAGAAAGCAATCGGAGAGCCATTCACATCTATTTAAAGCACGTGGCTTCCCCCAAAGCATCCCAAATGTCTAGGTAGGATGTTCATAGGCTTTATTTGCAACCATGTATTAAGAAGATAAACGGCTCCATTTAGATTAAGATGCCAGCCTGGGCCATTCCCCACAGACACCTGAAGCTGTTTGTAGTTTCCCATGTTGTATCATCCTTATGTATGTTGGAAGCACAGCTATGATTTGGGGCTCTTCGATCAGTCCCGGTTTCCCTGAGAGTCAGATAAGAAGGCAAGGCCCATGAATGTGCAAACAGTACTTTAACCTGACCCTCGCAGTTGCTTCATCCCAGAGTAAACACTCAAGGGGACTCCTGCTGACATCGCTTCAGGTTGCTTTCTCTGCTTCCATTAGCAGCCGTTCACTTTGATAGTGCAGACAAGATCATGCGCTTCCTCGCTCGACTCCTCACCTTAGCTTTTCTGGGTTTCATTTCCCTGTTGTGGTGGAGGCACCTTCTCTGGAGAAACACAGCACAGAACCAAGGTAGGATTCACCGCCACCATAAGAAGACAATCCAGGAAACAATTATAGCCTAATGCAGTCCAGCAATGTATTCTCGTTCTGTCAAGTGCCTCTGAGTTCAGTCATCAAGCGTACTAGAGGACAGGGGTTGTACTTTTAATAATTATTTAGAATGAAGGATTCTGACAGAGGAAGCTTTTCGCACTTCTGTAGCCTTTTGCTGCAGTAGTTGCGGTAGTTCTGTAGAATATCTCATATGGTGAGATATTCATAAATGCCCATTCCTTGGTCCTGTTTACTCAAGTAAATTATATTTGCTTTTACTCTTCTATTTAACAGTCACTTTGACTGGAGAGCCAATGTAGTATAGTGGTTATTGTACCAGACTAGGACCTGGGAGACCAGTGTTTGAATCTTCATTCAATCATGAGGCTCACTGGGTGACATTGGGCCAGTCACTGCCTCTCCACCTAACCTACCTTACAGGGTTGTTGTGAGGATAAAATGGGGACAGGAGAACCAGGTACACCACCTCGAGCTCCTTGGAGGGAAAGATGGGCTATAAATGCAAGAAGATAACGAAATAATAATTTGAAAGCAATTGACAGATTCATGCATGGCATCTAAAAAACAAAGCACATCCAAGGGGACTCCATTTTGATTACCGTAGTAATAGGCAATAGAACAACTGAATAGTAATTCTGCTGCCGTGCAAGCTGGTGAGAATAATTTAATCCCAGGTCCACAGTCCTTGGCACCCTTCCCCTTGCACAGACAAACTCCCCTCCCTCCTCCGATCCTATTTTGCAGGCAGATTGGCCATGGAGGATGCGGAAGAAGATGTCCCACAGACGTTTGACAGTCTCCTGCATATTCAGCAGCTGAGGAAAAAGGCGCTGAGGTCCTTCTGCAGCGAAAGAGGTAAAATCACCCGACTCCCACCTACCCAACAGGAAGCTTCCCAGGCCCTGTCTTCAATTATGGTGGACCACAAACTGCACTTCCTGTATTGCAAAACCCCAGCCACTGGGGTGGAAGGCTGGGAGCGGCTGTTGGAGATGCTTCTGGAGAAAAACGTTAGCCTGCAGCTGCCAATTCCTCACCACCAGCAGTTTGGCAGTCAAAAGGCACTGAGTGAGTATAACCGGACCTCCATGGAGGCTATAATGCAGTCCTACACCAAAGTGATGTTTGTCAGGGAGCCTTTCCAGAGACTTATCTCCGCTTACATGCATGGGATGGCAGACGGCCTAAACTTCAAGGAGTTCGTTCAGTACATCTTATACAGCGGGTCCAGGAATCGCAGCATGGAGTGGACACCGTCGGTCAGTCTGTGCAGACCGTGCCTCGTGCGGTATGACTACGTAATAATGTTTGGGTTCCTTGACAACGAGGTGCGCCATTTAATGCTCCGGGCTGGGCTTCCGGAGAATATCCGGATCCCCGAGTTCATAGACTCCAAAATTCGGTGGACCTATCGCTGGCTAGAAGAGCAGATGCTCAGCCAACTGTCCCTCAGGGAGAGGAAAGGACTGTGCCACTTTTTCCGGTTTGACTATCACACATTTCGCTTTCCCCGCAGTTTGCTCTGGAACCTCACTTGCATTCCAGGAAGTGGTTAGGGTTGTTTTGGCTGGAAGAACAGAGAAAGGCCTTTACTGTGATCAAGGACAAATGCAGTAGAAATTAGCTGATCTAGTGACAGCCTCTTTTGTATACAGAATGGGGATCTACATTACTCTTTTGAGAACCCCTCCTTCCATACATTGGTACCTTGGTTCCAAAACACCTTGGTTCTCAAATGCCTTGGTTCTCAAACGCTGTGGTGTAGTGGTTAAGAGCGGTAGTCTTGTAATCTGGGGACCCGGGTTCGCGTCTCCGCTCCTCCACATGCAGCTGCTGGGTGACCGTGGGCTAGTCACACTTCTTTGAAGTCTCTCAGCCCCACTCACCTCACAGAGTGTTTGTTGTGGGGGAGGAAGGGAAAGGAGAATGTTAGCCGCTTTGAGACTCCTTAAAGGGAGTGAAAGGCGGGATATCAAATCCAAACTCCTCTTCTTCTTCTTACTTTTGGAACACTTTGGTTTTGGTAACACTGTATTCCTTTTTTAATCAGTGCTTAAAGGGCAGTAAGTTCATGGTTGTTTTTGGAATACTTTGATGATGATGATGATGATGATGATGATGATGATTTATACACCACCCATCCAGCTGGGTTTCCCCAGCCACTCTGGGCGGCTCCCAACAGAGAAACGCTATGGGAGTTTAAAGCACTATTAACACTAGTTTTTGGAACTGTTTTTGTGCACATGTTCTTCCCACACATGGCACACGATATTCTGCTCCAAGATTCTGGCATAGAACCATCAATGTGAGATGTCCAGTAAACCATATAGGCCAACTCTCTGCTGGATGCAGGAAAGCCAGAGCTGAAACACCCCCCAACTGGCTGTGTAGCCTTTGCTTCAAGACCTCTAGTGGGGAAGAGTCCACCCCACTCTAGGTAATTGCTTCCATAGCAATTGAACTGCTATTACATGCCCTAGAGCAGTGTTCCCCAACCTTGGGCCTCCAGCTGGTTTTGGACTACAATTCCCATCATCCTTGACCACTGGTCATGCTAGCGAGGGATGATGGGAGTTGTAGTCCAAAAACAGCTGGAGGCCCAAGGTTGGGGAACACTGCCCTAGAGCATGAGAAAGGAATCTGTAGCCCTTAAAAGGTTGCTGGATAACAACTCCTATCATCCCCAACCATTGGGCCATGCTTGATGGGGCTGATGGGAGCTTGTCTAACAGCATGTGGGGGGCAACATAAGACAGGCCTGCTGGATCAGGCCAATGGCTCATCTAGTCCTGCATTCTGTTCTCACAGTGGCCAGCCAGATGCCTGTGGGAAGCCCGAAACCAGGACATGAGCACAACAGCACTGTGTTCCCCTGCAGTTCCTAGTAAAGGCCTTCGACTAAATGGAATGGAACTATACCATCCAATTAGTAGTAGTGACTTAAGAGCAGGGACTTAAATCAGGTTCTCTATCCCTGCTTTATAAGTGACCAGGACCCACGATGGTGCGATGCAGGAAGCAATAAGGATTGATTCTGAGGTACGGTAATCAGGAGTCGGGAGCAGATTTGGCCTCCTGTCTACTTCATTTTGATATGTGCCCCCTTTTGTTTTCTCCCATATGTGTACATGCTTGACATTCTTCTCATGTTATAAATTGGGTGGTGTTATAAATGACTGCATTTAGGATAGGGAATGCCAACGCAAAGGGCAAGAAAATCTTCTACCCTCCATATCAACATTTTGTGGCACAGCCATCCACAGTGTAGAGCCCCCATAATAATGACAGTATTTTCCTAGTGAGTAATTTAGCAAACTTACAAAGTGCTTTTCAAATCACATTTATTCCCCCCCCAAATAGTTCATTTCAAGCAGTGTTTCTTATAAATTCAGATCACAAAGACACTAATTCATGAGAGAGTTCATTTAAAAGATTCTATAAAGTCCTCAGTTTCAGCAAAACTACGTGCTTCCTGGTAACTTATCGTTATTACCGTGGACTAACAATTGTAGGTCAGTGTTACTATTGCTATTGCTTCATATTTCCCAGAATATCGTACTACAGGTTTTCAGTTTGCTTCTATGCTTGGCAAGATATTATGGAGACTAGGGAGAGAAACCTCAGCCTTTGTCCTACAAAAGGTACTGTTAAAAAGAACCTTTTATGGGTCAGAAACCTGTAGAAAAGCCATGGGTTGGTTTATGAGAGCAAATGTCAAGGATGGATCTTCTTGGATGAGAGAAAGTCACACTTTAAGCTGCAGTACAGAATTATTGCACTGGGGACAGACGCTGAATATGCCCACTCCACAAGTATTACACAAACCACAAAAGTCAGGAGAGTTAACACCAGCGCAAGAGACATGATTGATCTGTTTATTTCAACAGAACAGAAATTGTTCTCTATCAACAGCTAGGAGTCATTTTGATAAATGGCAATAGTGTCAGCTCATAATTATTAAACAGTTCCAGAAGAGCATTTAATGCCCCTAAGTCAAGATGGGCATATTAGCATACTAAGCAAACCCTTAGAAAAGCAGCAAGTGTTTCAATTGTCATTGGCTCATGCACATATTTGCTTCTGGCAGGCTATTTTCTTACATTGTGAGAACGCCATTTACTAGCGGCAATCAAGAAAATGAAGCATCCGTGAATGTTGAGTATGCTTCTGTCTCAGAAGTTCCAGAAAGCACTCTGCTTTCATATAGCACATCCAACGTCAACAAGACAACTCTATCCCAAAGGCATGATGCAAATCCATTTCCTTGAACGATGCAATGCACTGATTCCTGAACATTTCGTGGATAAGTTCATGTTTAATTCTCTCTGAGAGCTAGTTCCCATAAGGTTGTTTTGTTTTGATATGAAAAGGAGGTGTTTAGCATAGGAAATACAACATTGTGCGGCCTGGGAAAATGGAGTGCAGACTTTTCATTCAAACAGCTCTATTATGAACTGATACACCTTTGGGAAACACAGGTTAATCTCGGAGCAAACCTGGCCAACTGGCCAAGACTCTCTCCATTGTGCCATCGTTCGAGGACCATTCTTTTGTCAACTGATCACAGCAATCTGCATGAAATTTCAGATATAACTGTACAATTTGCTTCAGTTCACTCGGAGGGGTTCACCTGAAACTTTGACAACAAGTTTGCAGAATGATATAATAGTACCTCTAGGAGATTTGCAAACGGCTAGCAAATGGGATTTAGTGCCTGCTGCACAAAGCATCAAAGCTCATGGAGAATATAAAGGAAAGCCTAGCTAACTATCTTTCTGATGGAGTGTTTTTCATAACCCCTCTGTATGGCCAAGTAATGTGCGAAAGAAGTCCCTTGTGAGCCTCAACACATTCATATTTTTGCAACCTAACAGATTTACCCTGGTCTACTTTCAGCAAAACCAAATGAGGGGAATGCACCATAAGTGAGGTGGCTGGATGCACAAACAGGGCAAGACTTCTGCTCTTGCGTAGAAGAGAGGATTTCATCAGGCATAGCTTGTCATCTGTTCTGCACAGTCAATAAAAGATACAGGAATCCTGGCCACTTTTGGACCTGGCCCTCTTAATTATGGGATGCAAACTGGCTCTCCATAATTCATAACCACCTAGGTAATAGCTATTTCCCCCTAACTCTTAAACATCAGCTCCAATCACACTTGGAGTAAGTGGCACTGAAATCAACATATCTACCTACTCAGTAACTATACTGAGGATCATGACATTAGCCAACCCTTGTGCATTTGCTTCCAGTGTTATCTCATATCCTCAGCATACAAAAGCAAAGTAGAAAGTGGGAGTGGAGGCTGGGATCTCATTAATTAAATGTTAATGAACTTCCCACATCCTTATGATTCAGAGAGAGGATGCAATGGGGTCCTGCCCTCATTGTTGCTTGCAATCATACATCCAAAAGAGGAAGGATGGAAAACTGAAAAGGGGGGACTGGCTGCATCATAATCAATTCAAATTAGCATTTCATTGAATGTTGTGATCACACTATAAAAGTGAACATATTAGCAAATGGGTTTCGCTGATCTTTGCCATGAGCTTAAATGAACTACGTAAGGATTTCAGATTTCACAGAGAGCAAAACCATACATTTCCCCCCTCTTTGTTACATTTCACGCCAGCTGTATTCCACCAACAGGAACCCTTTCCTTAGGCAATGGACAATTCAGCTATTAAATTATAAAGCTTCATGAATCTGCAGGGCAGGTGCAGGAACACAGATCTGTTTTCAGCAGTGAGTCATTGCTTCCTTTTGGTCCCCTGAGGTGAAACCAGCTTGATGAGTGGAGATGGTTCCTAGAGGTTACTTCATTCATACTCTCACAGACCAGGGCTTAAAGGTGCCCGGTTCAGCAGATGGACACTGGAGGAAAAAATAAGAGTGAAATAATTGAAAGAGAAGGATGATAAACAGTTGTCTTCATCTGAAATGTCTAGACCATGTCCCAAAGTTGGCATGGCCTTTACTGGGCAACTACAGAATGTAACCATTTTCAGATTTACTTATCTTCTACACCAGGGGCTGATGGACTACAACTCCCATAATCCCTGTCCCTTCACCACACTGGGACTGATGAGAGTTGGGTATCCAACAACAGCTAGAGGACAACCACATTGTGTAAATCAGGGGTAGCCAAACAGAACAAGATTGCCAAGCTGAGCACTTAATTTGGCTGACTGGCATTTCCTACATGCAGAGCTCTTTCTCAGCCAGAACTCACCAGAACTCAGTTCTGGCACCTTTCAGGTGGGCACCATTGCCATTCTAAGATAACAAGGGAGGCGTTCATAGTGAGTTCCAGCATCTCTTTTTCTAGAAGCACTGACTACATGATAAGGATGTAGGCATATCTGGTTCAGTCCTATGTGAATTTTTGTACATATTGTTTGGCTGCAGAACTTCTCTGCAAAATTTGGCAAAGTGCAAGTTGGGAGGCATTCAACGGATGGCTACATTTCTGTTCACCCATTGCTTCGGAAACTGTAAATTAAGTAAGTTTGCCTTTAAATGCCAACTGAATCAAAGCTGTCTCCTGTTCCTAAT